TGATGTTGATTCTTCATCTGGATCATACTTTTGTACAAGTCCAATTTCAAAATCATCATCATCTTCCTGTACATCAATTAACTAGTTAGTTTCATCAAAAATTGCATGTACAGACTCTCCACACATATTGTCCTTTTATTATAAACTCTGTAAGCTTTACTGTTTGAGGCATATTCTAAGAATACAGCCTCGTCACTTTTCTCATCAAACTTTCCCAAGTTTCTTTTACCATTATTGTGAACAAAACACTTGCAACCAAAAGATCTAAAGTAATATATGTTAGGCTTTCTCCCTTTGATAAGTTCATATGGTTTCTTGTTGGTGATGGCTCTAACTGTGACTCTATTTAATATGTAACATGCTGTGTTGACTACTTTTGCCCAAAAGTTCCTAGGCAGACCACTGGCGATCAGTATTGTTTTGGTCATATCCTCAAGGCTTCTGTTCTTATGTTCAACCACTCCGTTCTATTGTGGAGTCCTAGGTGCAGAGAAGTTGTGGTCCATTCCATGTTCTTTACAGAATTCATCAAACTTACAGTTTTCAAATTCTGTTCCATGATCAGATCTAAGATGTACTAGCTGGTTACTTGTTCTTCTCTGTTCTTTCTTCACAAAGGCAACAAATTCATCAAACGTTTTATCTTTGCTAACAAGAAAGAATACCCATGTAAACCTTGAGAAATCATCAACAATAACCATAACATACCTCTTATCACTTCTACTTTGGATTCTCATTGGACCACATAGATCCATATGAATGAGTTCCAAAGGTCTTTTGGTGCTTACCATGTTTTTAAATTTAAAAGAAACACAAGTCTGTTTTCCTCTAACACAGGCATGACAAACTTTGTCATTTAGGAACTTAATGAATGGAAGACCTTCCACAAGTTCCTTAGTTCTAAGCTTCTCAAGTAAAGAGAAACTGGCATGACCAAATCTCTTATGCCATAGCAGTGGATCATCCTTAATGACACTATCTGGAACCTCGTTAAGATCCATTGTATAAGTGTTCCCTTTACGAGTTCCTTCCAATATAATGTTCCTAGTTCATTGTTAATGATTCTGCATGAATTGGAAGTAAAAGCTAACAGAATTACATTTATCACAGAATTGCGAAATACTTAACAAGTTGTGCTTCAAACCCTCAACCAAAAATACATTATCAATAGCATGGGAACTACTTGACCTTCCTACTTTACAATGGCAATGATTTCACCTTTCATGTTATCACCTAAGGTCACAGTCCCACCATAGTATGTGTCTAGTGAGAGAAATCTTGATTTAACTCCATTCATTTGCTTAGAACAACCGTTGTTGAGGTACCACATGTTGTTCCCCCTCACTGGAACCTACGTTAGTGTCAGGAACCCAGGTCTCCTTGGTTCTTGTGTAATAGATGTAGAGTCAGGTTTCTTCCCCCATATCTGTTTAACATGATTCTCATTCTTAAGAGTGCTTTTATCTTTCTTAGGAAATTTGTTTTGCTTATGTCCTATCTTACCATAGAAATAACAGATAATATTACTAGGTAGATCAACATACTTCTTTTCTTTCTAGAACTTCTTCTTATATCCTAGACCTTCAATTCTTTTGGTTTGAGCATTAGCAATCTAATCAGGTATAGTGTACTCTATGGGTTGCTTGCCCTTCCTAGCTTTTTCAAGTTCCCCCTCAATTCTTGCCTTATCCTGTTTAAACTCTTCTAAATCAGATTTCAATTTTTCAAAATTCAGATATTGATCAAGAAGAGGAACTTCAGAGTTAGGAGTGGCACCACTAAGTTTTAACAAAGAAATTTCCACATTCATTAGTATGTTATCATGTTTCAACCTTTCAACAGTTTCTTTTAATTTCACATTATCATCAAGCAAATCAAAGAACCTTTGTTGAATATTAAGTCTCATATCATATATCCATTCACTGTGTTCTTTGTGAGTTTTAAGAGCTTTGTCACTTTGCGCTTTGGCCACATATAAGTCAATTAACTCACCTTGAGATTCTAAGACAGTGTCAATTAGGTTTTCTTTAGAGAAATGCTTTAACTGATTATAATCATACCATACCTCCGCCTCCAGTGCCTTCAGTTTGGCTTTTTCATCTTGTTTTGGCCATCAAACACAAGCGTGCTGATTCTTCCGAAGGCTTCTCTTCTTCTTCTTTAGATTCTGAGTCTCCCTAGGCAGCTATCATAGCCTTTCTTACATCCGTCTTTAAATAAGATGGCTTGTAAGCTTTGGACTCTTTAGCTTGATCCTTGCCTTTGAATCTTGCTTTATCATTTTCCTTTAGAGGACAGTCTCTAATGAAGTGATCTTTCGATCCACACTTGAAACAGGTAGTCTCTTTGGAACTTGAAAATTTCTTGTTCCTATCATACTTCCTGTTACCAAGCATCTTCTTGAATCTTCTCACCAGCATGACCATCTCATCTTCATCAACTTCTGAGTCACCAGTGTCCTGAGATTTTAGAGCCAGGCTTTTGTTCTTGGAACTTTCAGTATTAGTTCCTAAGTGAAGTTCATGTGTCATCAAAGATCCAGCCAGCTGTTCCATGTTGAACTTAGTGAAGTCCTTGGTTTCTTGCAACGCGATCACCTTAGCTTGGATCTCCAGCGTTCATCTTGAGGAAGACTCCTCAACACCTTTCTTGCCTATTCCTATATAGGAATATGTTTGTCAAGGGAACCCAACTCATTGATTATATCATTATATCTAGTAAACATCTCTTCTATGGTTTCCTTAGGTAGCATTTCAAATCTTTCATATTTAGACATCAATAAATCAATTTTTGAACGTTTTACCTCGTTTGTACCTTCATGAGTAACTTTAAGTAGATCCCATATTTGCTTAGTAGACTTGCATCCCATGATTTTGTTGTGCTCATGCGGTCCAAGTCCACAGTAGAACAATTTTATACCTAAAGCATTCAATTCATATTTATGAAAATCTTCATTTTCAAAATCAGATAAAGGTTTAAGAACCACCTTGTTTTTCTCATTAGTTTTGGTTACCTCAAAATCACCAGACTCAATCACACGCCAAACCTGGTAATTTTCAGCCTTGATGAAGAAATCCATCCTGTTCTTCCAGTAAGTATAGAACTTACCATTGAACATAGGTGGACGTTGGGTCGAGTACCCTTCTTCAAGCTTCTCTCGATAATTCATCTCTCTGAACTTACTCAACAAAGTTATTTGAGACAAACTTATACAAGAGGGGGGTGAATTGTATAGATCGAGTTCCTAATGGTACTTTTTTGCGGAAATATAAAACAGTTTATTAAAGGAACTTGTAATATACACGTGATTTTACGAGGAAAACTTCCACGGCTTAATTGGAAGTAAAACCTTGACCCTCCAAGGGATTTCAAACACCAAACCAATCCACTATAATTGGCCAAACACTCCTAGTTACAACCTATTACAATCACACCTTTCTCACAAGTTCCAGACTGAACTTGCTACTCGATAGAACCCTGTTCTACCCAACCTAAGTCCCAGACCTAGATTCACTCAGCACTCCCAGAGCACTAAACACTTAGCTTCAACCTTGAAGCCTACCTCACTGTATGCAAAAACTAATCACTCACCCAATACCAAAACAATGCAAACTCTTGACTCTAATAAGTGATTGGAAAGCTACACATGAAATCCAAAACTAATATGATAAAGCTTTGAACTTGGCAAACTTACTCTTAAGCACTTTTCAGATTTTTCATGCATAAACTCACAAGTTATTTCAATTATGAACAATTCTTTATATACATAAACTTATGTATGTAAAGTAGGGTTTTTCAAAAGATAGAATATTATAATACTGCCGTTTTATAAAACTCTTGTAAAATAATCTTTTGAAGAAAATCTTTTGGAAAACTTAACAAATATATAATTTAGAAAAGATTATTATTTTGCAAAATCAGATTTTATAAAATAAAATCTCTCAAAGTTCTTTTCCTAAATTAAAACTTATCTTTTATAAAACTTTCCATGTTTAAAAGCTTGCCAAGCTTCTAATAGATTTTATGCATAAACTATCCTAACAAATTTACAACAATCCTAGTAAATATAAACTTAACAAAAACCTTAATAATAAGACTCTTAGTCTATTGTTGGATTGTCTCCTCAATCGTTGCATTATAAGGATACTTGAGCTTTACGCAGACCAAGACTAAGTTCCTGCTGTCTTCAACTCTCCAGCTCCTTTCTAGAACTCGCAGACCAAGTTCTTGTGGAACTTGTTGTCTTCAACGTATTCTAAGCTAGTCTTCTTAGCTTGCTGTCAAGCTCCTGTTAGGGAACTTCTCTTCGTGTTCCAGTTAGGAATCACTGCTTGTTCCAATGAGGAAATCTTCTTCTACTTTCTCTAAATTTCCTTTAGACTCCTTGAATCTTCATAAATAGGTTACTCTTCCACTTCTAAAGTCAACTTCACCTGTTCTAATTCAATACTTAGAGAAATCGCATTAGTTGAAGTTTGCTTTTACTCATCATCATCAAAACCACTTAAGCTTCAACACCTATCCCATTCCCTTCTCTAGCCTCGAAACCCTACTTCCTTTCCCTATCTTTGACATCGACACCACCTCTATTAGGGTTTTGGGGCTGGGGAAGGGGAAGGGGAAGGGGAGGGATAGGGTTTCGGTGTTTGGGAAGGGGAGAGGGGCGGTTTTCAGGCCATTCCGGTGTTGGGGATAGGAGGGGGGCTAGTTCGTGGGTAAGGCAGCCATGTCGAAGGTGGCTTGCTGGTTTTTTGTAAATATTTGATCAATCACGTTCTGACACGTGACTATTAAACTAAATTTTTTTTTTTTAAAAAATTACTTGTTTAACAGGTTATCGGTCATTTGAAACAATTAAAGCAAAAATCCAAAGTTAAATTTATTCAATAATAATTCAAAATTGGAATTATTTAAAATAAATAGGTAAGTTGAGATTATTAAAGCCAATTTTCCTAATAAATTTAGCGTGGATCGGGTCAAGACCTTCCCCTCATCAAGAGCAAATCACAAGGAGAGACTTTCACTTCCATTTCTTTGCTAATAAAACATTACTCACTTCATATTTGCGGTGCAAATCATTTCAATTGCACCATTGAAGCAAACTCGTCAGATGGAAGCTATGATGCTGAGTTCATCATCTCCACTCCATCTATCTCGCCCTCCAAAACCCCTTTTCTCTTCCCCTCTATCCTTTCCTTCTCTCCTCAAATTCAAGGTAAACTCTCTCTTTATTCTCTATTTCTCCATTCGATCAACTAATATTCTCTCTCTGTCTCTTACTCTTTTGCCAATTCAATAACTTTTTCTCCATTTTCAGGGAAATTCAAGACATGGGGTTGTTCTACTTCCGGCGATGTGCATTCCAGGCCCAATTCGAGACACCGAGAAGTCTGAAGATGAAGAGGGGATGCAAGTTTCATCGTCTTCTTCGTCGCCGCCGTCTTTGAGCATTTCTACATATAATTGGTGTGCAGGACTTGGAGGATTGGGGTTCTTGGAAACTGCTTACTTGACTTATCTTAAGGTCTCCAATACTGAGCCATTTTGCCCTGTTGGTGGTGGGTCTTGCAGTGATGTTCTTAATAGTGATTATGCTGTGATTTTAGGTAAATATAATTTTCAATACACATTTTTTGTTATTTGGGCAATTTTAATTTGTTATTATTTTGGTTTGTTGAATTTATTTTGTTAGATTGAGAATTTAATGAATTGGTGATTTGATTGCATGAAATTTATTGTTCCAAGTTGAAGATGCATATTAGTGATCTAGTTTGGCAATCTGATGATTTCCCCTTCCCTTAACAAAAAAGTGTTGGTTGTTTTAGGTTTTAAATTAATTGTTAGGTTTAGGAAGATTAGAAAAGGCAAAAAAAAAGCAGGAAATGAGTTTATTTGTCATCTAACATTCTTATTTACCAGCAAACCTAATCCAGAAATAGTAGCATGTTATACTGCTCTTGTACATTGGTAATGCCTGATGTAATTCTCAAGTGTATCATGGCTGACATCGAAGCAAGAGTTATGTATTTCTTACCTAAGATAACCTAAGGCAGTGGCGATACTTGGTTTGACTGTTTGTTTATGAAGATTTGTGATTCATGGAGCCTAGTTGGGGAATGCCTATCTAAAAAATGATCCTCTCTCCTAGTTTTTGTAATTGGTTCATGGGGTTTTTAAAACTTCTTACAGTATTTAACTTTTAAAAAAAGTTGGATGGAAATCATGGAATAATAGTTGGTTAGGTGTTGTTTGATTACAATTCCTTCTTCCCCCTCTTTTCATCCTCAAAAAGTTGCTTTGTTTCTCTAAACATTTTTTTATGTGGCAAATTAAAATTACTTTTCATAAACTGTTACAATAATTTGGCTTTTGGTATTATCGTTGTTGATGTACTCAGAGTTGGCATGTAAATTATATAGGTATTTCTCTCTATCTCCAGAATTGTGGCCTGATCTCATGTCTCGTGCATTAATTATCATAGGTTATTTTTCCCTTAGTGGGTACAGATTGTGAGTATAAAGAAATGGAGGCTGAAAACCACTTTGTTACTAAGATATTCAGCCTCGTTAACTCGTAAAGTACAATAAACTGCAATAATAGAGAGCAAAAATCTTCATATCGAATATTAACATCATATAATATTTTAAGATGGCAGGATGACCACACCTTGTGTATGTATAGCATTTGGTTCATATTACAAACCCTCTTTGGGCATAATTATTAAGCTCTTTGGGTTTCACAAGCTTTGCTTAAACACTAAAAATCTAATAAGAATATTTTATATAATTTCACATGTGTCTTGCTTCCCCTCCTTTGAAGTATATGTGTATCACAGAACTCTTGTCATTTTACCTGAGATTTTCTTTATTTTCCCCTTAAGAAATGGATATATTATAACTGATGCTGAAGAATTTATTGTTGACCTGAATATCAATTTTAACATCTCTGCAGGTGTTTATGATCCTCCTTTTGCATTTGCCAGGTGTTCCTCTTCCATTAATTGGCATGACTGCCTATGGGCTTATCTTTCTCCTTGGTTTGAAGTTAGGAGGGTGGAATGTGCCTCTCAAAATAAGTCAAAGTGATGGGCGTGTACTTTTACTTCCTGTCTCTGCTTCCATGGCAGCTGCCAGTGCTTACTTTCTGTACACTCTGGCTACTAGACTTGAAGGAGCTTCATGTTCATATTGTTTGGCATCTGCTACATTGTCATTTAGTTTGTTTTTCATCGTTTTAAAGGTTAGTCTCTCCTCTTATGAATAATATTTTAAAAATAATTAAGCACTACCATATTTTTACAGTAATTATTAATGGCTATGTATTACAGGATTTTGGACTGAAAGAGCTACAAAAAGTTGTCGCTCTGCCATTATGTACAGCTGCTATTGTGCTTGGAATACTAAACACCACATACAGTTCACTACCTCCAATATCGCCAAGGTAATTACATTGAATGATATCTTACTCTAGACCTGAGACCCGAGGCTTTGAAAATGTTTGTAGACGCTTTTTTCATGCGTTTGTTATTTTTTGGGGCAAGTCGGAAAAGATTTTAAATGACTTACATAAGATATGTAGTATATATTCAGCTAGGCTTACCCTGGAAATGATTTTTGTTTGTCTTGGGCTCTGGGCTGGACCCTTTGATCTATTATTTCCACGCAAAGCTTTTACCAAAACATGCTGGACCTACGTCATGTTTCCAGTTTCCAGCGACTTCTTTGCATGGGGATGTATGGTATCCAAGCCTATGACATTCAGTCATGCAAATTATTGCAACTTTTGCACATATAATGGTTTTCTTAAAAGACTTGGTAATCTAAAGCATCCAAATCTCATTACAGTGGGTTTATTTATATTTTTTTGTTTTGATTAAGTGGGATTATATATATTGATTTTCGTTAGACCATTGGCATAAATTATCTTTATATTATTTTTAATTTTAATTTTATTTTTAATTTTTTATTTATTTATTTTTATTTTTTGTAATTTCAAAGCAACAATTAGTATGTTAGTGGTGTTGATGAGAGCAAAATGGCTAGGGTCTGTGTAATTGCCTTTACCCCTTGAATTATGTGGTTCACTCCACTCTTGCTTATTGACGACAAGAGAGGGAGAGACGAGGATATGGTATGAGCTACAAATGGGAATGGGGGATTAAGGTTGGTGGCTTGGATCCCAATCATTAATCCTCACTATCTAAACTCTAAAAGTGCTTTATTTTGGTAATACTTTCTCCTTTTACATTTTCTACTTGTTCAAATTTAAGAAAATTGGTGAGTGTAGCATATGAGCCGAACTTATATTAGCTTATATTATCCATGTATTATCTTCATTAGTTGAACTTATATAGATGAACTTATCTGAACATATGAGCCCTGATTTACATTATTAGAACTTAATCAATCTTAGTAGACCTAAAATGAGTGAAAACAAAGTAAGGGGTGGAGAACAAAGCCGTTAGGGGCATCATGGAGGAGGTACCCATAAAGTATCCCTCAAGAATACATTAAGGAAAGCAATGAAGGAGGACGGATTCCAATATCCTCCCCACTTAAAAAGTCTACAACCTCATCAATTTACGAGAATTATAAAATGAAAGTGAAAGATTTTATCCAATTATCATGGAATCTTAGATTTATGTCTTTGTTGTTCGCGGTCATAAATGTCATCTTAATTATGGTGGCTTCTTTCTTGTTGGTGAGCGAGTTTCTTTGCTTCCATTGTGCTTTCATACATCTTCGGAGAGCGAACTTTTAGCAAGCTGGTTGTACTTATATGTCCTTACATAACAGCCATTCACGATACTTTTTTTTAAAAAAAAAATATTTGGAGTAAGACAACTCCAACCGCAAATCCATTCAAATATTCCTTGTGAACTACAGTGATTTTTTTTCTTTCCAGTCAACCAACTTCATCATCTTGGCTTTTTAGTTGATTGACTTCATGTTAGTGCCTTCTTTCTTGGCTCTTAAGTCATTAACGCTGTCACCGAAGTTGTGAGTTGCTCATTTGTCCACCATGGTACAAGTGTTTCTCCCATTTACAACTAGGTCAACATACATTAACTCATTGGAGGACTCTTTTGTCTTAGGAGCCTCTTTGCTCATTGAATAGATTATATTGATGTCTCCCATTTTATTCAACTCCTTGTCTTTACCATAGGTCAATTTGTTTGTTTGATATCTTCGTGACTTTTAGTCAAAATATTGTTTCTCTCCTTTCGGTTTGCACTCCTACCATTTCTGTAGGCGTAGGCATTGGCATAATATGTTGTTGTGCAAGTGTGCAACCTAAAATTTTCAAAGGAACATGCTTAATTTGGATTCTGATATTGTTGTGGAAAAAGGACGACTTGAGCCATTGAGCGTTAGCTCCTCCAACTTTCTCTATCACCTAGTTAAATGATACACACAAGCTATTCCTTAGACTTTCAGCGTAGGCACTTCTTTAAAAAGCTATGGCCTTGTCAAAGGAGTATTTCACTAATGTCTAGTGTCATAAGGTTTCTTTCTAAGAATCTTATGTTCAACATATTCTTTCAATCTATACATGACGATGAATTACCACTTTTCGTTGGTCTCAATTATCCAAGCTAGTATTCTTTCACATAGTTGTGATTTGTGAAATAAGCCCTTGTGTTTGATCTTTTGTATTTTCATTTAAGTGGCTAATTTAGGGATTTCAAGATAAATAATTTGGTCCTTGAGTTCAATCTTGACCTCCTCTTATGTATCTATATTGGTCTTCTCAACTTAAATTTGCATAGTGGGCCCACCATAGCTTGGCATTGTATGATTAGTACATGATTGTGTCTCCCTTTGGGTCGTCCCTCAATTAACTCACGAATATAGAATGAAGTGATGTGTGGCTATGGGTTGGTGCAAGAAGTGAGACAAAGTTGGAGCAGATGTTTGCTGCAACGATGGGAATCATGGGATTTTGTGTGCTGCGCATTGGGTTGGGTAGTTTGGTGGAACCACATGTTGTGCTATGTGGGCAAGATCCAAATCAACATTTAGTTTGCATTATGCTGAATTCTTGTAAACATACATGATATCCAAGGGAGTTTGTTAGGAAATTATTTTAGGAGATTTTAAATTTGCAAAGATATAAAGGGACTAGGTGAAGAAGTTAGGATTCATAATACAAGGATTTATAGGCTCATAGTTTGTATGATATTGTGAACAAGATCTAATATGTGTGTGTGTGTGTGTGCTGTGGGGGGGGGGGGGTTCTTTAGAAAGAGACACCAATATTATTGATACTGGTTTGATTAATAATACAAGTTTGGGTTTAACAGACCTTTGGCCATTTAAATTATTGTGTTATCATTGTTAATTTGCTATGCATTTGTTGATCTCGTACTTATTTCTGTAATGTTTGTTGTTTGATGGTGACCTATATGGGGTTGGATCTCCTAACGATTGATGAGTCACTATTCACTAATTGAAGTTGTGTTTCTTTTTTATTTTCACTGAACAGATCAGAAGTCATGGAGTTTCCTTATTATACAACAGAGATTACTTCAGCATCAAGTCCATATGCAATTTCACTTGCAAAACATCTCAAATCTACAGGGGCAAAAATGTATGGGGCATTTTGGTGTTCACACTGTCAAGAACAAAAGGAGGTAATCACTCACAACTAAACTGATACTGCAGAGCTAATGAAAGAATAAAACTCGCGTCATGATAATTCTGCATCTTTTTGTGCATGTGTGGCGTACATATAGAATTTCAATTTGGTTGATCCTAGCTATATGATAGTCAGGTTTTTTCATTAGGGTAACTTTTTGCTGTATGGCTTTTCTCTGTTGTGCATGGTCTGTCTTCTTATTTTACTTGCTTGTTTTTGGTAAATTGGTGCCCTTGTTATAAGCTATTTGCATACAACATCTCCACTATTGTCAAGATTACTCCTAATTGGCTTGAGAGTGAGATTAGAATAGTGTCTGGATCTTCAATAGTTCAATGCCTTAGTCTATGACAGGATCAATGTCGTTTAGTGTTATTTTGCTTGTGTTAGTGTGTAAGTTTGGGTTTTGGTGGGGAAGGTGTGTGTGTGTGTGGGGGGGGGGGGGGGGGGGGGGGGTGGGGGGGGGGGGGGGAGGGTTGGCGAGGAGGTATTGGAGGGGATGAGATATTTGAGCGTTGCCTAATGCTATTTCCTCATTTGAACTTTTCACCATTAATATTTTCAAGTCACCAAGGCGCACTAAATCACAGAAAGGCATAGAAGGATCCCGATCGCCTAAGTTTGCCTTGAGCCTTTCTATGCATTTGTAGTAAGGTTAACTTCTAGAATCTTTCGATATGGCATATCTGCCTAATCTTCTGTGATCATGGCTTATGCTCTAATTCATCTACCTAACTCATGAAAAAGCTCGTGGAATTGATGGGAATATCAATAAAACACCCCTATCAGCAAGTGTTCTATAAAAGCATTAAATGCTGAAGCACAAGAAATCACAGGGCTCTTGCTAATGAACTCCAAAAATCTGCGGAGAAGATTCACTACCATTGAAAAAATCTAGCTTCTGGATGATGGGTTTTACCATTCTATCCAGTTGCTTTCAATCCCTTTTTATTGCAATCCTGCTTATTGCTTGGTTCTCTTTGAAATCAGCAAATTCATCAGTAGGCTATGTTACTCTGTCTTAGACTTACGTCAAAGTTATTATTACGTCAAAGTAATGTATCAGTGTTTCATGGTTATTTATGTATGAGGTGTTTTGTGATATCTCTGAAGTACACACCAGGTCTTGAAACTGTTTTTAAATAGGCACCTCTGCCATATCTAATCTGTGAAACAGTCGAAGTAGTGAATTATTAATCATATTTTACTAAAATGAGTTTGCTAGGTTGATGTAATATAGAGCTTAATTTGTACCTTTGTGAAATATTCATGGCACATACTGCACATTACACCAACTGCACTCTTCATCAGAGTAGCTATTTTGAAATCCTGTTGAGTGTCATGATGTGGTTTCATTATGGTGAAAATTGATTTTCGATGCTTTGGTAAGCAACCCTTTTGTTTAGCAGAATAACATATTCAATATGATTCCCTGTCTATAGATGTTTGGACGTGAGGCAATGAAGCTGTTAGATTATGTGGAATGCTTCCCTGATGGTGTTAAGAAAGGAATTAAGATTGCTTCAGCTTGTAGTGATGTTGGAATTGAAGGATTTCCTACTTGGCTTATTAATGGCGAGGTGAGTCTACTGTGCTTGCAGCTGATTTTGTCGTAAAGTTTTGATTTTGCTCTAGCTTTCATGTTATTATTTTTTCTTCCCATTGTGCACTCGAAGTGGGCTTAAATTCTCAAAGGCTTTCTTTAATCTTTAACTTCAGCTATTCCTTTTACCTTACTTTCATTTAGCATGATGTAGTAAAGAAGAAATTTGTAGGCAAGAAAAAATAGTGAGGCTTATTTGTTTGCTGCTGCAGTTCTTGTAGGAATTTCAAATTTTATCCACTTTGTTGCACACTTTGCAATCAACATTTCGACTCAACATTATTCTAATGAATGTTTCACACCTAAGCAAGCAACTTCTCTATATAAACTGTAGCTTATATGTATACCCTTTTTGTAGGTAATTAGTGGAGAAAAGACGCTTGAAGAACTTGCAGAAATATCCGATTTCCATTATGACGCTGTAAATCAACCTAATTAAAAGTTAAAACCATGGACTCCAATGCTGTCCAAGCCTTGTTGGATAGGAGTTCTTACTGTAAGGTTTGTACAATAGTTGCACAGCACTTGCACTTATTTAGGCTTAGTTACATTTTTCAGATCTTTATCATATGAATAGTTTATGTATGCTACAAGCAGTTCCTATTACAAAAACGAGGAAAATTTAATCTTTTGTGAGCTTTTAGCTTTATGTGGGGATAAAAAAATCGAAAATCCACACTTTCTTAAACTTACAACTTACAACTTACAACTTACAACTACAACTTACAACTGTTACAACTTACAAGTACTTGAAGGGCTCAAACAGTGGCGGAGGAGTTTAGCTTGAGTGGGTTCAATAAAGTAAAGTTAACAAATACAAGTACTTATTGGTGTACTCCTTTTGTTTCTAAATATATGATACAGTAATGCAATTTGAATTTTATTATAACTTTGACCACGTAATTTCTGACATTATACATCGTATATTTTATACTCTTATCATATTTTATTACTATGTAATTAATAGAGTATAAAATATATTTTTGGGAATCAATCATCAATCTAACTTTTTAATTGCATTGGTCCTCTCATTGTAACAATTGCTCTACATAATATTTAATATTTTAAATAATTAATAATTTATTAAAAGAATACCAATTATATGTGTATTTGTACGATTGAACTACCCATATGTAATGAAAAAAGAAGTTAGAAAAAAAAAAAAAATAGGAAGTACATGACACTAATTATGTAGAATACGTATATCTATTATTATTTTCCCTATATGTTATGATTAATTGATTATATGTAGACATTTGCAAGTTCTTAACCAACATTTTATGTACTATAATTTATTTTTTTCACCTTTGAAATAAAAGGCTATAAAATTAAGGAAATTTTGACTTTTAGTACCACAAAAACACTTGGGTTTCATTTTTGCTACCGCTAAAATTTTTATTTTTTATTTTACTACCACATAAAAACACATTTGTTAAAATTTGACTTTTAGTACAACAAAAACACTTGGGTTTCATTTTTGCTACCGCTAAAATTTTTATTTTTTATTTTACTACCACATAAAAACACATTTGTTAAAATTTGGTACCACTTCACGGAATTGGTTAAAATTCCGTTAAGTATATTAAAAAAAAAAAGAAAGTAAAATTAAAAAAAAAAAAAAAAAAAACCAGCCAGCCACCCTCAATGCAACCCACCCCCTCCCTTATCCTTTCCTCGTTGCCCCAACCCCCACCCCGAAACCGGAAACAACCCTCCCTCCCCATCCCCACCACCGGAATCGACCCCCCTCCCCTTCATTTCGCGAAGAACCCTAGAAAAATCGATTTGGGGGTTTTTGTTTAACAAATGTATTTGCGCAATTCTTGATCCCAAATGATAGTGTGTTGCATTGTGAACATTTTGGTACTAATTTTGTGCGTTTTGGTGAAGAAATGAACATGTTACCCCTTTCTTTAAGCTTTGTGCGTGAGTATTAATGGAGTTAAAGGTCGCCGACGTAGGTGGGGGAAAGGGTTTGGGGTGGGGTCGCCGGCGTTGGCCCAAGCTATGGCCTCCGCCGTCGGTAGGGGGGAGGGGGTGGCTGGCTGACGGGAGGGGGCTGGTGGGCAGTTGAGGGTGGTGGGGTTGCAAAGGTGGAGGAAAGGGAGGGTGGCTGGTTTTTTAAAAAAAATTTAATTTTTTTGTTTTTTAATTTTTTTTAATAAACTTAAAGGAATCTTAACCCATTCCGTTAAGTGGTAGCAAATTTTAACAAATGTGCTTTTATATGGTAGTAAAAAAAAAAAAAAATTTGAGCGGTAGCAAAAATGAAACCCATGTGTTTTTGTGGTACCAAAAGTCAAAATTTCCTAAAATTAACGACGTATTGTTATTTCATATACTTAGTTTTTAACCTTTTCTTATTTTTGAGGAAAGCGGTAAGAAACATTTAATTAATAGACAGAGAATCCAAAAGTACATATGGGGAAATCTCATTTGGAACAAGATTATCCCAGAGTTGTTCACTATCATACGACACTAATCTAGCTAAATGATGGGCAACAAAGTTTCCCTCCCGTTTTACATGAGACCAAGAAATGGAAGAAAAACCCGTACAAGCATAGACAATGTCTTCTAAAATGCCACCAACAGCCGCCGGAGAGAAAGACCCCTTCTTAAGCTTAGAAACAAGCAATAAAGAATCAGACTCTAGAATAATATTGGCCAATTTCTTCTCCCTTGCCTTCTTTATGCCAAATAGAGCTGCTTTGCATTCAGCCACCAACGGTTCCCATCTCGCCCTTGTTCTACACACTGCCGAGAAGAGGATGCGCCCTCTGTCATCACGAGCTATAGCTCCTAAACCCACCCAGCCATTTTCTGTAATTGTGGCATCCACATTAACCTTCACAATGTCGATAGGAGGGGGCACCCATACTGGACTACCTACTGGTTCGCCTGGAGAAGTAGTATTCCCATAAATTCTCTCAGTATACTCACCGAAATCAGTCACTAACCTGCTGTGCCTGAGAAGGAGGGCCTCATCCGAGTCCCAAACACTTTCAAAGACCCATTTATTACGACGAAACCATATTAACCATAAGAGAAATAGACTTTTTTGATAAGTCTCTGCTGAGAGATTTTTAGCCCAATCAAGCAGCATTTCTCCAAAAGAATTCGGTATACTTCTGTTAAGCACCTCATGGCAGCCACATCTAATCCATAATTGTCGAGCTTTTGAACATAACACCACAGCATGGATCACCGTTTCATCATCCATTCCACAACAGGGGCAGCTTTGGTCTTCTGTAAGATGCTTGTGATGTAATAAATTTCGGGTGGGCAGGGAGTTCGAGCTACATCGCCACAGGAAATGACAGACCTTTGGAGTCACCTTCGCCTTCCATATCTCGACCCAGAATAATTCGAAGTTATCAAGTGCAAGAGATTTTCCCAGGATATATGCTGTTTTAACACTGTAGAAACCGTCTTTAGACCATGCCCAGGAAAGACTATCCTTCGGCATGTGCTCACTTAAAGGGATAGTGAGGATGGCTCGCTTATCTCTTTCGTTAAAGATGGTCTCTACTTTGTTCCAGTCCCAACAATGGTTTTCTTTATCCAAAAGCTCATCCACCTTCGTATAGAGGTCCTGCCGGGCTTCCGTAGTCACAAACGACTCTCATCATCGATCAGCCAGGGGTCAGTCCATACATTAATATTCTGACCATCCCCAACTCTCCATAAAATCCCCTCCTTAACTAGAGCTTTGGAGCTCCAAATACTCTGCCAGGAGTAGCTTGAGATTGGACCCAGAGCAGCCTCAAAAACAGACGTATGGGGGTAGTACTTGGCCTTGAGGACTCGGCTCACCAAGGATTGCTCATTGGTTGCTAGACGCCAGAGCTGCTTACCTAAGAGAGCCGTATTAAACACACCCAAATCTCGAAATCCCATGCCCCCGAGACATTTTGGTTGGCATAAAGTGTCCCAATTTTTCCAGTGAATTTTCCTCCCCTTATCATTTGAACCCCACCAAAAACGAGCCATCATGGCATGAATTTCTTGAATTAATCCTTCCGGAAACCTGTATACCCCCATTAAATATGTTGGGATGGCCTGGATGATTGATTTGAGGAGAACCTCCTTCCCTGCTCTTGACAAGAATTTTTCCTTCCAACCTTGCACTTTCTTCCAGATACGATCCTTAACAAAGGCAAAAGTCGCTTTCTTCGATCTCCCCACTACAGTTGGCAATCCAAGATACTTAACATGATTATCAACCATTTCCATGCCAAGAATAGAGCTAAGAGTGATCCGAGATGGCAAATGAACACCTTTACTGAAAGAGACCTCCGACTTTTCCAGATTAATTTTTTGCCCGGAAGTTGCTTCATATTTGTTGAGAATGTCGACAATTATCGAACATTCCTGTCTGGTGGCCCTGGTAAATAAAAGGCTGTCATCTGCAAAGAATAAGTGAGTGATTTCCGGACCATTTCTGCTAGCCCGTACTCCATGGATTAGATTCCTCTTCGACGCCGTCTGTAACATTCTAGATAAAACATCAGCAACTAAGATAAAAAGATAGGGGGAGATGGGATCACCTTGACGGAGTCCTCTAGAGGGAGTGACCAGGTCCGAGGGAACACCATTAATAATGAAAGAGTATCGAACCGTAGTAACAAATGTCATGATGGTATCAACCCAGGCTCCGGCAAATCCCAGTTTAACCAACAATTTTCTCAGGAAGCCCCACTCCACCCTGTCATACGCTTTGATCATATCTAATTTCATTGCAATCGATCCCCGACGACTCTTGGATCTCTTCTTCATGGTGTGGAATAACTCTAGGGCGATCAAAGCATTATCTGTGATCAAACGCTTAGGAACAAAGGCACTCTGATTCTCAGTGACCATTCCCTGAAGTAGCGGCTTTAGTCTGTTCGCCACAGATTTTGAGGCTAACTTGTAAAGCACGTTGGACAGAGCAATTGGACGAAATTGGGATATACAAGTAGGTTCTTTCACTTTCGGGATAAGAACAACATTAGTACGGTTTATACTGTCAAGAGGAATTCTACCAGAAATAATATTATTAATAAATCTAGTCACATCATCACCAACTATATGCCAATATTTCTGATAAAAGATTGCATGAAGTCCATCAGGGCCTGGAGCCTTGCATGGGCTCATCTGAGAAAGTGCAGAGTAAATTTCATCTTTGGAGTAAGAGCGACATAAAGATAAGTTCATACCTTCTGTCACCATAGAGGGGACATTATCAAGCATCTCATCTGCCAGGTCCTCGTCAACTTCCCCCCTAGCGAACAGGTTACCATAAAAATCGAGGATGACTTTTTCAACATTTTCCTTCCCTGTTTGCCACTCGCCTTCTGCATTTTTTAGACCCTTAATTCGATTTTTACTCCGTCTCTGGCCTGCCTTATGATGGAAGTACTTGGTGTTCCGGTCCCCATCCTTGATCTCAGAAACCCTCGATCGAAGATACCAGTATGCCTCGTTCTTTTCATGGAGGTCATCAAGGATACCCTCCAATCTATTACATTCGGCATAATTACTGTGGGAGCGCACCTGGTTTTGAAGTTCCTTAAGAGCATCTTCTGTTTCAGCAATTCGTTCGCCTAAATTGTCAAACGTGTCTTTGCTCCACCTGGTTAAATCATGGGC